TGATTATTTTATGACGTATTCCCTGATATTTCAGCACTTTTCCTCCAAATGTTCAGTTTTTCGTTAAGATGGAGACTCGCAAGCGCGCGCGAAGTGAAGTGCGTCAGTGTTCCCCGCCTCAATTGACAAGCAGGGACAAGTGCATAGCAAATTTGGCGCTAAAGTGACGCAGTCATTCCTAGCCTCAACGAATCTCACTCAACTGCCTCATCCACCCTACTCACCGGGACTTGAAGTCCTGTGACTTCTTCCTCTTCCAAAGAAAGGAAGAAAAACTTGAAGGAAAGGCGTTTTGACACGCAGGGAGACCTTGTGAAGGCCATGGAAGAGCTCAAGAAGTTTTCGGAAGCCAATTTACGAGAGTGTTTTAGCAAGTGGTTTCTCCGTATGAAGAAATGCATTGAATTCGATGGGAAGTACTTTGAGAAGTATTAAAAGTGTGAGGAAGATGTCATGACAAAACGAGGGAAAATGGAGAAAAATATTTTTTTTTTCTCGGGAACTATTTTGGAATCCTGTTTTGAAAAAATCACGTTGATGGCTGGTATAGAGAGAGATGGACAAAGGGCAAATCGTGCGACCGCGAAATAATAAAAAGAAAGATCAAGTAGTTTCCATATCAAATCAATTATTCATTTAAACCATGAATAAGACATGGTTCGAGCTAATTATTCAGATCCTAGCTGAGGTGTTATGGAAATGCAGGTATGATATAATGTGCAAGATAGGTCACATGAATATTCAATATCCGGCCAGTTGAATTTATCTGCAATTTCAAATTAATATCACCAAAACGGAAATCAAAACCACTTCAAATCATATCATGGGTTGAATTGATTTAACTGCATATGCTGCATGTCGATTCTTGAGAGTGACTTAAAGCCATGTCATGATTTGATTTATTCCACCTCTTGAGATGAATGCAGCTATTCCAAGAATGCATATCATCGCATTTATAGACGCTGCAGTGTCTATAAATGCGATTATATGCAGTGCCCCCTCCTCCCCCGAAATTGAAGCACTCATTATCGTGGTCCATTTATGCATCATGAATTGCGAATGCCATCATTTTGGGTCATTTCATTTCTGAGATCCGTGAGGTTGAGATTTTTGCTGCTCCACAGGAGCCTCGAGGAAGTAACAAGATTCAGTCGTGGTTCGGTTTCGGTCTGCAGATAAATGTAGAACATCGACTGGATATCCAGGCACCTTTTTCTAAGTCTGGGAGGAATTTAGGGAAACTAGACTGTAGACAGGAGATATATAAAAATGGTTTTCCATTGTTTGCGACCATTTGAGTACTCCGTGGGATTAATCGAAGGTGACTCAATTTAATGGAACTTCATAAGGTCAAAGAGGTTAGTGGCATCCGCTTTGAAGACCCACAATGGGGCGAATAATTAATTTCGTCCAACCTATCGCCAAGATGTACACCAGCACCCTAATCATTACTGCCATATGATGAGATTCCTCATCTGCAAGAAATAGAGTCCATCTGCTACCTTGGGAGCTCCTTGATAAATTATTGTTTCTTGCTGTGTCTGCACCTTGGTTATAATTGTGTATATGCATGTGTGGGAGGAGATAATGTCCAAATGTATAGGGATCGTCGTCTGCATGGGGGTGAGGGTTTATTTGTCAAAGCCCTTTGCCACGTGCCGCTTCCGGGAGGTCTGTTACATCCTACAGGCCTGTCTGCTCTCCGTGTCCTTATACCCCAGACTCCCAAGTGTCTTCCCCCCGCCCCCCTCCTTCCCCCCTCGCTTTGCCTTATTCCCCCTCTTCCCAGTTTATATACCCCCTCAATTGATAGCATGCTATGGCCAATGTGGTCTTCCACTGCGTTGGCGTAACACAATCGACAAACGTCCGTATTGTCTATTTTGGACCTAAACATTTTCTTGCTGTGGCAACTCACTAAATATTAGACCTGTGGAAATTAATAGACTTCGAATAAACATTAACCATTGCCACACACTCCTGAAGAGTTTTGATTAATTACTAATTGCAATTAGCCGAGAAGATTTTAGTTATTACCAACTGAAAATTATTTGCGTAGGTAAAAAATTAGCAATCCAAATTGTTACAACCAAAATGCCTAGGCATCATCCAACCGGTCAAGCATTGACAGCAATGGATATTAATTCTTAGCAAGCGCTCTGCTTTTTGCTTTGATCTCTTTTTTTTAAAATTACATAGGTTTCAAAAGTAGGTCAATCTTTTCAATTTTTTTTATTCTCAGAGGCAGCCAGTCCATAAAGTTCTGTTTTCCTCAACGGCAAGAACTTCGTCTAATACATTCACAGCCTTACCTACAACTATGCTTTACAGCAGACACACCCGGCTGTCAGACATGGAAGACTCTGTGCTTCTCTACTGAGCAAAGGAATTTAAAAACCCCACAGCAGAAAAAGATCTGGAGGTCAGCGCTTAGCTATTTCCGTCCTCTCAGCTCTTGGCAACCAGTATTTGGTGTGACGGTAAATGCAGTCGCTTAAAAGTTGTAAAAAAATTTAAATATCAATATACTACAGCTAATAAATAAATTTATAACAGAGTTCAGTAATTCCTTACCCATTGCAATAGCATAATCAAGATTAGCTTAATAATCTAGTCATAGGGAGATCAATGCCAACTCTGACACATTATAGAGCACTTTTTTCATACAAAGACCTGCCTCGATATTGACTACATACAGCAACCTTTTTTTAAATAATACATCCACAGTTATTGATTATAAGGCTGATTTCGGATGTTAGAACGAATGGTGTAGGCTCTTCGTGCTTCCACAGTGGACTTACATTTATTTCACAACTGTTGGAATGCTGACTTGGTCATGGAACCTCGCTGATTATCCTTATATCCATACTCATTGGCGAGGTATGTCGATACTTCGTAACTGACGCATGGTTTCTCGATATCATCATGCAGAGCTACCAGTCGTGACACTTAGTTATGTATAAACGCTATCATCCTACACTGTGCGTGTATATTTTACGGTACAAAAAGTATGGGCTTGTTTTGGAGGCATTTATCCCAAGTTCAAGTTCCTTGGGTCCACATGTGACTGGAACGACTGCGTCCCTAAAGGGCCAGTCGTCCCCGCAGAAAAGGGAAGGAATGACCGCACATATACATAAACACATGTGCAGGGGCGTCGTAAAAGGAGGGGTCCATCGAGGGCAATATTGCGAGGTTATTTGCGGGTAAGGGAGTCTTCACTTTTAGGGGGAGGGGGGGTAAACATTGATCTTGGGGGTCAAGAAGTCACCGGCTCGGCCAACAACACATGTCATTCGATAGCCCCCTTCTTCCTTTTCCTCTCTCTTCCTCTCTCATAAGTCCCTATCTGTAGATATAGGACTCAATAGGGTAAGACATCTTCCACGTGGGTTTATTTTGCATGACCACCCTGTCCCTTCCGACCTGCACCGCAAAAAAGTATTATCAGACGAGCCTTCAAAGGAGCGACGAATCTACGCATAATGGCAAACAGTGAACCTGGAGTGTTTACGTTCTCCTATTGCGTAATGATGAAAAAGATTCAGGATATCATAATCACCCCCTGCAACCAGCAACCCCCTGCAACCATGGCTGGATATGCAAAATGAAGTATTGGGAGCGGATTGAAGACCCTAATATCGTTCCACTCAGTGATAGAGTCTCCAGCTATAAAGATGATCAGAAACGAGGTCTTTCCCATTGGTTGGTAACAACAGAGCGAGGGGGAAGTAGCTCAAGTGACGTACGGCTCATATAATTAGACTTAGGTTGCGGAGTGCCTCTTTTACTTGTCGGCTGGTGAATGCTCGGAACGCGTTCGGGGAACATGTAGCCCCTGCCCTTCCGTGGAAGACTTAAGAACTGGTTAAATGCCTTCATGGACAAAAGAACAAAAGGGTGCACTATAGTTGTCGATTACTATAGGCAAGTGATTGACACATTCCTTCCATAATACATTTATCATTAGAGAGGTAATTCTATCATAGATTATGTGGGGGAGTTGGGATGAGCGCTCGACTGTTGTTCTGAAAGTCGATTTGGGCACTAGGAATGCCTTTTGGTGCCCCGTCCCAAGCTTTAAATCGAAACTTTCGAAGGTTTTTACCTAGTCTTTGATTCTAGCGAATCCCGAACAGAAATACCAGGTTGATTCCAATATCATTTTAAAAAGACTCCAGATTCGATGGGATAGTGAAACGATTTGGGTCAGTTACAAATTTTCTAGGCGATTATGCTACTCAGCATTCGCGGAATAAGAGGGATTCGGAACGTTTATAAACGTTTACTTTGCATAATTATGGAGATTGAACTGTGTTGTACTGAATATTATTTGGTATAGCCACATCAGCAATTGATGATCTGTGATGCAGAAATTCCCTGCTGAATGTTTTGCATGCGAAATGGGATCGCGTAAAAATGTTCCAGGATTTACATCTGATTTATCATTCAGGATCCCTTTTCTTTCTATATACGAGAATGAGATTTTCAATAGTTGGGAGAAAATTAGGAAAAAATAGTCCCTCAATAATTGGGGGGAAATTCAATTATTTCAAGATTCGATGGATCTAGCTTGATTCGCATACGATTCAAGATTTGGTATTTATGTGGGACTGGAATTGGATTCGGGATTCGCCCTTCCTTGGACACAATATTGACCATATCGACTAGGGGATTGCTACAAACAAAACAGCTGACTTCATTTCGACCCTCTTCCAATGCCTCTCTGCTCATCGTCTTCTCTCGTGCGTTTCGAAACATCGAGAATTCTCACGATTCATTCTTAACGAGATATTTTGCATATTACTTTCCCTGTTTTCGGACTATGAAATAGCTATAAAGATTAGAACTCCCCTCAGGAGTCTGGGTATGTTGTAATTCGAAGTTAACTGAAAGTTGTTTTGACGCTCGAAAGATCGTAGACATCCGCATCTGTCACACGTGTAAGGTCACGCATTCTAAGAATGCGTGACCATACAGTATTTGTAACAATCTCTTACCTCCAAAGCTTGCCAAGGAGTTTGGAGAGTTCGGCATTGTGCTGCGTGGGTTGTTGCTCAGCAAGTTTTCGCCTGGCCGCCTGAGCCCAGACCATGAACGCATTCATCGGTCTCTTCACGTGCGTCGATCTTTTCTTCCCCTGCGACCTATCACATATTAAAAAGATATAACCTCGACAAATGTCAGCAGATATCACCGAAAAATATTAATTTTCAGCCCTATTGAAACGTGGAATTGGATACACCCATTCCAGCACCGAGAAAACCTACAGACCATTAACCTACACGAGTCTTTTGTCAATATACCATAAACATAGGCCTATATATACTATAAAGTGTTCCACGGTCTATACAGGTATATGGCAAAGAATCTGTTGTCTCATTATAGGCGTACCGATTGATGACTGGCTCGAAGCTCCAATCATGCCTCTGGAGGACCTGTGCCACAGTGTCGAGGAGATGCGGCTGGTCACACGGCGCCAAACTCTCCCCCCTCGCACCCATGGAATGATGAAGCATTTGCAGGGATTTCTCCTTCCCCGTCATGCCGCACTGTTCCACTCCCACTGACCACCTCTGACCTCGAGGACTGAGGAGTAGGGGGAGATCCCGAGGGGTTCGTGTCGAGGCTCCGCCCCCCTCATCTGGAATGACGGGGCGGGAGACTTCCCCTCTTTCCCCGCCCCACCAATCTCCTCCACTCCCTTATAATCCGTTCGTGATTATGTTTGTCGAAAGCGTGCTGGTCGTTTCAAGCCATGCAACAAGCAAGTTCCGGTTCGAATAATAGAATTCGTGATAACGACAACGACGATGATGACGCGTACGAGGCAAGAGTGATTACGAGTCCACATCGCGAATTTCTCTTAGTAGGCACAGCGGCTCAGCTATGACGCAAAGATCCAGTTCAGAGGAGAGTGTTTAATAATAAACTACAAATGCATCCCTGACATGGTACCTAAAAAATTAAGGAAAAAAAGGTCTCTGTGAAATCAAACTTCAAGTAAGGCATGAACGTATACTGCACTTCCCTAGAACAAGAGGAACAAGCCATTCACAACTCTTCAGTATTTGTGCCCTCCAAGCCACAGATTTTGAATTAAACAGCAAGACTCGTAAGATCTTATACCCGCGTTGACCTCTAGGCGTCTTGCATCACCTATTGGTCTCTGGTGTCTGCAGGGATTTTTCAGTGGTTCAATCTTGTAAAATCCTAGTTTTCTTCCAGTTCTCCTCGGTACAGTCGGGAACAACTACATTTCGAACTAAATCAGAGAGAGATTCATTCTTTGAGCTGCAAATGTAGGCTATCATCTTCACTTCTGCATATGCGCATTTGCAGGATGAGAAACATGTTTGCTGCCCAGGAAAATGATTGACAGATTACATTTTCATTTCACACTCGACCCCATTATATTGTAATACATTTTGCAGTACATTATTACCCACTAGCAAAGACGTTCAAACTGTCGTGCTTCCTAATCAGAAAAAAAATGTATTTAACTATTTTCACAATGATACCCGATAACATTGATTAATGGCAACTGGAGATACTAACTTTGGCCTCCCCTTGTATGCCCTCACCAATTATTTCAATAAATTACTCAAAAAACAGAATGCTAGAAGGACGCTAGATGATGCGCATATATATGGGTACAATAAATCGGTCGTACATAATAATTTGCCGGAGAGTTTTGGGCGAAAGTCAAGAGCGAGAGTCAAGAGAGCGGTGAACACAATGAAAAAAAAAAACAACTTTTATTTTACTGTTACAAGTAAGAGATTCGAATTCTCATGCAAGGAGGCAAGAGGAGAATATGCAGGTGTTCCCTATTGTTTCATTTGTCCGTCGATACTTCGGCTGCACGTCCTCTGTCGCGGGGTCATTCCATGGTTTTGCGGGCAGTATTACGATAGTAAATGAATTAGAAGAGGTGAATGAAAACTCAGGCATGGACACTTGAGGTTGATGGAAAGAAAAGTAATTTCTTAAAAACGTATTCATTTCCCTGCCTGAAAACTAAAGGAGTTCAAGTTGAACGCACGAGGTGGGTGTGCGATGAATTCCACACCCCGTGAGGAGAGGGATTGATTTACTTCTCTGCATCAGTGGGAATATTTTTGCTCTCTCTCTCTCTCTTCGGGGCGGGCTCCGGTAAAAACGCGTGTTTATAAAGCAACTGTCTGTCGCATTCAGGAGCGAAACATACGAGCTGCTGAAGTCACTCCATCCATCTATTCTCCACTCCTTAGAAACGTGGAAAAACAAACACGGACTGCAGTGCAGGAGGGCAGACATACGTCCATATCCCCCATTGCTGCGGTGTTTCTTCAACAGACATTGCACCAGCAGATCCCCCCCCCCCCCCCCTCTCTCCCTCTACACAAAACATGGCCAAGGGGGAAAAAGGAAGGAAACGGCCATTGCAAAATGTGGCTTCGTCCCCTGCAGCTGTACACGAGGCTCCTGATGCAATGGCATACATGCGTACAAAGGCAAGGCTTGTACCCAGGGCATACCCCATTCACTCATTCATCACTGGATTCCGGGCATTCTCGTGGGTCACCACCCTGGAACATTGATGTGACACGTTTTTCCTCGGCTTCCTAATTCCACGATGTTCCCTTTGTGCCACCGCCGTGGTCCCTCATCCTAATTGACTCATTTGCACCATCCTTCCAGCCTTTTCGCGTCTGTCGGCTCGAAAGCCGGTTCCTCGAATATCTATAAATATTGGGACTTACTTTGTATTGCGGGAAATCCCGTTCGGATGCGGATGACGTCAGACAGGACTAAAAATAGAAGAAACGTAGCATGGATCGAATTTTAAAAAAATCCTTCGGAATGAAGCAGAACTGCATGCACAATAAAATTAATGGAATAAAATACAGATACAGGTATATTGTAACATGAGAATGCTGTTTAAAAATATGGATAAAACAAAAAAGCAGGAAAAGAAGGCATTAGGAAATTATATAAGAGATAACACAAAATGAACTGAATCAATTAGCTACGCATCTTGTATTCATTCCTCTTACTCATTGAAAAATTGTTTTTATATTCGAATGCATATACAAGAGGTGTCGAAGTTGGATCCCTGGAAGAGATTCCATCTAGTTCGCGGTGAGATGTTAATATTCCCGAAGTTGTACGATCGAAATCCCAACGCCATGGTAACCACTACCATCATCTCAACGATGTTCAAATACCCTATAGATAGGATAATTTGGCTGCTTGCATCTGGCCTGATTAATCCGTACCTTTAAGGGAATGTTTAAACGAGTGGCCCCCGTAGTCACTGTTCGTGCGAGTTCTAACAGTTTTATTACCCCTGGTAAAGGTAATCCAGAGTTGGCGAAATCAAGGCGTTCCCTCGAAAACATCATTCTGAAGCTCTCTGTCTCATTCCAGCAGATTCCGCGAAGTATGGGGCGAAGGAAGAAAATAAGGGCATGGATCTTGGCAAAGGGAAAGAAAACACCGTGAGGCAGCATGCGACGTGTGTTGCCGTTTTTTTTTTGCGTCCTTTCACTTGCTCATGCACGAACATCGCTCCTCCTCATGGCTTTGCTTGATTAGCACTGATCATTTGAAGAGCCCTCGGAGCACGACGAGAGGGGAACGAGAAGATCCCTCTGCATATTTTAAGTGGCTTCCTCACTATCTCAAACAATGACTCGGCACGTCTCTGCGGAGCTCCTACCAGGGAGAATATATGGATTTTTTTCTGGGTCTGTGAAGGCGAACTATGCATCAAGAATGTACGGCATGGCACGGCACACCCTTTCGGGGGTCAGAGTAAAAAAAAAAAAAGAAAAAAACCTTCAAGGCGCATGGGGTGTCCTTAGAATGATGGGACTATCAGTGTTGTCGCCTTCCCGGCGGGGGCATCATTTTTAAAAGACCCCGTGTCATAATCCGACAGACCTGCCATGTTTATCTGGTGAAGGCGAAATCTTAGAACCACTTTTCTTTCACTGTTTTATCACGATGAGATCGACCTGGGAGGTATTGATAGAATGACGAAGCAGGAGTTTCGAGGGGGGTCATGCACGGGTCAAATGTGTGTGAGTGTGTATTCGACACGACTATACCTACACCCTCTTCCTTCCGGCGAGATTCTTTCGTGAGGTCTTTATGAGGATCGTGCAAGTATTTGAATAGACGCGAGGGACGCTCGCTCGGGGACGGTGTCCCCATTCAGTGGGAAAGACATGCTGTTATCGTTGAGCCATTCTCGCCTTTGTAGCTTTTTTTTATTTGGTGACATGCACTGAATCCATTTAAACTAATCTGATCTCACAATGGTCCCCATGGAAATCAGTTTAACCGAAATGAACTTATTCCTATAGACTCCCATTATGAAAACGAATCAGTATAAAGTGAAACGGATCTGGTGCATGTCACCCAATGTCTTGCTCTCGTGTCAAGTTTAAGTTTCGGCATTCGGAATTTGTCACAAAAGAGCTGAATCCGATTAAGGCTACTGAAACGGGGTTTTTCCTTTCTGACCCAAACCCGACGTCAAGCGCTCTCTCTCTCTTTCTCTCATGTCTTTGAGAAATAAGACAGGCATAAACAGGGGACAGATGAAATTACAATTCCTCGTGGATCGTGCTTTACTAAAATAATTGAACACAGGAACTAATTGCTTATCGAATTATAATCACTTTCGCAAGCTGGTTCTCACTTGTGGAATACATTACAATGACATTTAAATTAGATTTGAATGCCATGTAAAGGCATCTTATCAGTAATGTATTAAACCACAATTTTAGGAAGGCCATCTAATTAAATAATTCAGAATAAGAGCTGGATTTAGAACTGGATTTAATTCCACGTTCAAATTGTTGATAGTTGGCAAGCATGAAGATTCATGATGCTGAGAAACTAAAATTCGAAAAGAATTTTAAAAGCGATTCACCATCGATTACATGGTTCTGAAGTGATTGTAGTCGGTGCTCATTTAATTACGCGTCTGCATGTGTAATTTTTCAAATATTAACCGACTTTTGAGAAGTGATTCAACCTGAATGTTTTTAACGCGGCCACGTTGCACTCGTCTCGTCCTGTAAGTTCTAATGTGCAAATAAACATAGCACGGAGAGCTGACACTGCAAAACAAATCATTACTTTCTGCGTTGACTGCAAAATCTGTTATTGTCATGCGGACCGAAGGTTTGGATAGCATGAGAGGCGGAAAGAAAGCCAGATGACGGCCGGAAATCGAACCTGAGCCTCCTGATTGCTGGTCAGGTGTGATACCATTACACCACCGAACCCAGGACAATCCGTCGTGCCTCTCCATGCCATCCCTATCACTACATATTGGCTTGCAGGAGCCTGCTGCAGGGATGGGAGCGGATACCACCTTTCCCGCCAAAATATTTGGGCGTATTCGACTCTGATCCATATTTTCAAGTGATGGGAGTTAAAGATAACACTAAACCGCATACCTTTCTCTGCAATACTATTTTCCATTATGTTCTAATTATCAGAGAATTCGCTATTGGAATTCACACTTATGTTCCACATGCTTCCTCAAGTTTTTTTTTTTAACGTAGTCAATCTTCATGCACGAAATTTTAACAAGGAAGACGACGGCAAACACAGACACGTCGAAAT